TTGAACAATCCCACAATCCTCTCAAAAAGTATCCTATGGGGTTTTCGTCATTGGAAAGGTCGGCGGATAAACAATAGCTAAGAGAAATCACCCAGAACAAAATGGCTAGCAAAAGAATTTACCCCAGGGAGAGCAGTAGGATTGCAAACCAAAATCCTGGATGTGGTTTAAGTGGTTCTCATTGTGATCCTTGTCTGGCAGGACCATGTTGACGACTTCATGCACCATAATAACTGCATGAAGGTTATGTTTTACCAGAAGCCAGGCATCTCCTTCTCCCCGTTTCCTATCTTTTTAATTTGGAGATATTCTAACTTGGAGCTGGGAAGGCTGAGTTGGGACAATGGATGCCTTGCAATTAAAACAGTCAACAGAAATGGGCTGAAAGCTCCCAGCATGCTCTTGCAACGGCTCTTTGCGGTTTTCGTGCGAGCACACAGTCTTTGGGCTTTGGGCTAAACGATGTTATGCACAGCACGGAAATTAAATAAGAGGCAATCAGATAACAAAATTAAAGATGTGAGATAAAGGAAATATAGCCAAATCTACTAATAGACTTCACTATATTGCCCCATATTCTTGATTCTTGCAAACTACAGTTGTGCTAGATATCAGAAGAGTTTTAAGGAACCTTGGAGGTCTTCCAGTCCAACCCCCTGCTCAAGCTGGAGACCCTATATCATTCTCGATAAATAGCTGACCAGTCTCTTCTTAAAAACCTCCAGTGATAAAAGCACTCACAACTTCTGAAGGCTGGTTGTTCCACTGGTAGATTGTTCTCATTGTCAGGAAATTCTTTAGTTCTAGGTTGCTTCTTTCCTTGATTACCTTCCATCCATTGCTTCCTGTCCTGCCTTCGGTTGCTTTGAAGAACAGGTTGACCCAGTGATGGGATTCAAATATGCGAACCACCAGTTCTCTGCGTGGATGCTGCTTCTGGAAGTCCATTCTGGGCCTGGGCAACAAAAAATTAACTACCGGTTCTGCCAAAGTGGTGCGAACTGGCTGAATCCCACCACTGGGTTGACCCTCTCTTCCTTGTGTCAGCTGCTCAAATATTGGAAGACTGCTATCATGTCACCCATAATCCTTCTTTTCATTAAATCAGATATACCCATTTCCTGCAATTGTTCTTCATATGTTTTAGCATCCGGTTCTCTGATAATCTTTGTTGCTCTTCTCTGCACTCTTTTTAAGAGTCTCACCATCATTTGTATACTGTGGCGACCAAAACTGGATGCAGTATTCCAAAGTGTCATCTTACCAAGGCCTTATAGAGGTACTTACACTTCACGTGATATTGATTCTGTCCCTCTGTTAACACAGCCTAAGGCTGTGTTGGCTTTTTTTTTTTTTTTTTTTTTTGCAGTTCATATATTTCTTTTCTTTTTAACTTCTCACTTTTCTTTTTCAGGAAAGAAACATATATATTCGTTTTCGTAGATATATTCTTCATTCAAGACAACATCAGAACATCCTTCACATATTCTCCAGTTTGGTGAAGAACCATTTATTAAGCATTCCATTAATTGGGCTGCCTGCTTTAATTTCATGGTATTCTGCTATTTATCACCTTTAGCAATCAACCTTCAACTGCATACTCATGTAAAGCATCCATAATTCAAATAATTCTTTCTGAAACATTTTATTATGAAGATGTGTATGCCATCTGAGCCCCACAGGCGCTAGAAAAAAAAATTGGTTTGCCACTGCTCTTCATTAAGCCATCTTGAACTACACAAATGTTTTCTTTGTCTCTTCTCATACCCTTTAAATCTGAATTAGGACAAATACCTTCCTAGGCATGGCTAATAAACTAATCCCACAATAGTTGTTTTATTCACACGTCCTACCTTTGTCTTGGCACATCTTACAATTCTCAGTCGCATCTTTCACACTTATGTTAAAGCAAACAAAATGGATTAATTTGTCCAATTACATCTAGAGTCGTACCATTTGCCAACATTCTCATAACATTTATGACTTTCTTTTCATCGTTTTTTCATGGATAGCAACATCAAATCACTCCTTTCGACGTATGCTAGAATTCCCAGGCAAAGTTCTAGAACAATCCTTCTAGGCTTCCCTCATTTCATCACTGTTATTTTTAATTTTATTCACCCTCCTGAAAGGTGCCTTTTTTAGCCTTCTTCACACAAATCAATAGCATTTTCTCTTCTTTTTAAAAAATCCTAACCATTCCTTACTTATTTCTGACTGCAAAAGATTTTCTAGCCGGTTCCCACCTTGCAGCTGTGGTCACATCATAACAAAAAAATCTGTTGTGCAGCTACTTATTTTTTTTAAAAAATCTCACCTTTATTACTTTATAAGTAACTCAAGGTAGTGAACAAAATTAAGACTCTTTCCTCCTGTGAAGTAGGTTGGGTTGAGAGGTAGTGACTGTCCCAAAGTCACACAGTCAGCTTTCAGGTCTAAGGCGGGATTAGAACTCACCATTTCCTGGTGATTGGCCCAAAGTCACCCAGCCAGCATTCATGCCTAAAGTAGGATTAGAACTCACCTCCTCTAGGATCAGGCAGCATCTCAACATACATAATATGATTGCTGAACTTTTTTTTTTTAAAAAAAAAACTAATTTGCCAGAATTCATAAGATGTCATGCAAGAACACAAGAGATTTTGAAAAATTGGACCATTTCACAAATTCTGACTATCTTAGATTGTGTTTTAGTTGTTACTACGAAAAAGATAAAGATTGATGGATGCCAGCTGAAAATTTTGTACAAATAGCATAAGCAAGCAAAACTATTTAGGATGAGATAAGAGCCTTTTTTAAGAGAACAGAAAGAAGAACTTGGGAAGAAGAACTTGGGAAGAAGAACTGATTTTATTTTGTATCTGTGAAGCAAGATAACATGCTGGCATACGCTGACCTACATTTGAGGAGCATTGAACTAGCTGTTCTAATTTTTAAAAAATGGTAAAAAAACTTGTCCATATTAAAAGAAAATGAAGTATTGCCAGAAGCAAAATATTGCTCCTTTTGAAAACCCCATTTTGTCTTGCCATATGAAAACAGAAAATAGCTTTCGGAGTGTTAAGAAGACTGATTTGAGAACTCAAATCCTGTATTTCAATTTCTGATTGTCTTGCACATTTTACACACAACACACACAAACCCACTTAAAGGCTTGATGCAACCTTCTTAGATAATAGATTGGCCGCTCCACGCTCAGTTTTAAATCAGCACCTGAAAGAATGATTAGGTCAGCATTAAATGCAACATCCTGTACAAGAAAGACTGTTTAGCTCGGAAGCATAGCCTTTTAAAAACCTGTCTTATTTTTATAAGATTGGCTGGCAAAACCAGATTCTTGAAGATGTTCTGATCATCATCATAATACTGTAACCACGTAAACAGCAGGAGATACAACTTACAGCCTCAAACTTCTTGCGTGAAGCCCTTTAAAATCTTGCTAATATTCAGCTGCTCTGGATTTTAGTTAACAAATTTTGCATGCTTCCTGGCTCCAGATGAGATACACATGGATGGAGCAATTATTTTTAACAGCTATCCTAATGGTTGCAGATGGAGGCAGTCCTCAACCTACCACCAAAATTTCTGCTGCTAAGAAGGGAGTATTAGAAGTAAAGCCCATTCTTTTCTAGCACTGATGATGTTACCTAGCTGGGTAATGAAACATCTGCAGGAAAACAAGAAAGCTCAGAGGGCACCAAGAAATCCACATTGAAAGATTACAGAGGAAAACAAGGTTTTGCAAGACATTAATAAGGGAGCCTTTATGAAAGACCCAACAGCAACGTTGTAATAAAACAACACACAAATCAAAAATGTGAGACCCTCATACAACCCACTCTATGAGGATCTAGGAGAGAAGTCTGACCTTGTCGCTTTCACTCCCAGGCACCATGTTTTAATTGGTGGAAAAAAACTATATGTATATTGTTATGGGATTAGACTGAATACTAACTGCTTAGAACATATATATTGATGATGTAATATCCAAACCATCTTATCTGTGTTATTTCAATGTTGTAACTTTTTTGAGAGTTTTTTACTCTTTTTTTGTTAAATTCTCTGTGCTGAGCAAGTCAGGGTCTTCTTTTGCATTGTCCTCCTGAACCTTCTTCTTTAGGGATAAAAAAAATAATAATGAAATTGCCAGTAACCCCTAACCCAGGTAGGCAACCTTGGCTCTTTTATGACTCGTGGACTTCAACTCCCAGAATTCCTGAGCCAGCCATGCTGAGGGGAAAGGAAGAGGTTTCCAAGCTGAGCCATGCTGGCTCAGGAATTCTGGGAGTTGAAGTCCATGAGTCATAAAAGAGCCAAGGTTGCCTACCCCTGCCTTAACCAATGGTTCTGTTGTTAGGATAATTCACAAACTAGGCTGTGCTTTTTCAGGGATGTCGGCCCTTGAAGTTGACAATAGGGTAGTTAGATATATTCAACACTGGTTTCAGCTCTTCTCTCTTAGTTTGTTAAACCTGTCTCTTCTCCCAGGTCAGTTATCTACAAACATTGAGATAAGGATGCTACATTAGGAGAGGGAAGCCTTAGGTCCAAAGTGAACACAAGGTGACACAACAGCGGCATTTGCCGTGTTTCCCCAAGAAAAGCAAACCTTTGAAACATAGGATATTTGTGGCACGGCAAACACTGACTAAGCCAATTAAGTGAACATGATCACTGGCTAACGGTGGCTTAGCAGAATACATACAGGCATGCTGGCCGAGGAATTCTGGGAATTGAAGTCCACAAGTCATAAAAGGGCCAAGTTTGAAGACCCCTGGTTTGAATCAAGCTTCTACTGAGGGAAGTAGAGCAATTAAACACTATATATATATATATATATATATATATATATATATATATATTGCTTAACAGTGACACCTTGCTTTTGCACAAGATTTTGAAAACATTTGCTGTTAGAAGGGCAAAAAAATAACAGTTTTAAAGTGACAAAACAGAAGATTAAACACAACAGAGACAGAGGCCACATGTCCACACCAATGCATATTCCAAGCATGTAATACCTTTTTATTAAGTAGTAACTTTGGTTCTAAGAATTCCACCCTCATTTTCGTAACACTTCGTTAAAAACAAGTAGGCAAGAGCAAAATACAAAAAATATTAAATTATGAAAACCAATCCCCTTAAGGCTCCCTTTTTAATATTTATACATGTACACCAGGAAACAAGTAAAGACATGAAGGAATGGCCTAACCTAAAGAATTGGGAGGCAACACTAATTTGCCACCTTAACCAGCTAAAAACTCTTTTAAAAAGCATTGGTCGTTTAAAAAGACAAAGATTTCTAGAAGGAGACACTATCACTTTTAAATTAAAATAGGTCAGCGGAAGATATTCAGGTACACTTCTGAAAAATGGTATAATGGTATCAGTTATAATCACAATCTTGATTGCTCCCTGCTAATAAAGAGAGCTGAACAACGCCAAGGTGTTTGTTAAAAGCTGACCTGATGTTACACTGATGGGCTCTGGTGTTGTCCCACTGACTCGAAACAAAATTGTGGATTCCTATGCAAAACAGAAATAAAAAAAAAATCTTGCAGAGTACTTCGATGACCCAAAATATTAGTTACATTCTAGTAGAGCAGGGGTAGGCAACCTTGGTTCTTTTATGACTCGTGGACTTCAACTCCCAGAATTCCTGAGCCAGCCACGCTGAGGGAAAAGGGAGAGGTTTCCAAGCTGAGCCATGCTGGATCAGGAATTCTGGGAGTTGAAGTCCACGAGTCATAAAAGAGCCAAGGCTGCCTACCCCTGTACTAGAGGAACACTATTTCCCAACATCTGTTGTGCACAGTGTTCTGCAAAATTTGTTTTTCCATTGTTTTAGGAAACTTTTTTAAAAAATCCAATTGATTTCATTTGTCACTAAACCAGGAGCAGATTTATGTTCATTTGTTCATTCAGATGGTCCGGTTTCAATGAAGTTGAAGAAGACTATGATATGCAAAGGAGTAGGGGTCAAAAATTCATTGGGGATTGTGATACCAAGTGCAGTGAATTCTTTGATACCCACTGAGCCAGGAAGTGGTTATGGAATTGGAATCTCTAAAACTTTTAAGGGATGAATTAAATGACATAGCTTAGAAAGACACAGGAGTGGATAAGATCTATTAAGGCAAGTCCTTTCCCCAGAGTATTCCCACCACCTCCAAAGCCTTCCTGCAGTGACCAAATTAATGCAGAGAAGGGGAATGTTAGTGGTTAGCAGTGTATAATCTAATCGTCCGTGGTCCCCAAAGAAGAAATTAAAGCTGGAATTGTCACCTATGGGTGTGGCAAGTGAAACTCACCTTCACAAAAATCAAGCTCTCCCATTTCCCCTTCATGTGGCAAAACAATCTACCAATATATATATATTCTATCAAGCCCTTTGTGTGTGTCATTCTAAAAGACACAAACCTATTAATCCAAGTCAGTAACTTGTCTCAGGATTTAAATTAGAAGCAAATTAAATCTCCCAGAAACCTTTTTCTTATTGGCTGGGAGGGATGTGATTTTATTTGCAAAAATCTGGGATCCTGACAGATTGGGAACTTCACACCAAAGGAAAATTGCTTGTGGTCAGTCCCAAGAAATGGGGCTGAATCAGTTTTATACAGTTCTAATGCCTTCAGCAAGGACTAAATACGTCACTTATTCGAGATGTCAACTAATATAAACTCTGTCAAGGATTTTGCTTGGATGTAACTGAAAAAGGATGAAATGGACCTGACCCTATTTAGGTAGTTATTGAATGGGAATTTGTACTGCTAATTTTCTACCTACCTATTGTGATCACTACTAAAAACTAGCTCGGAGGGTTGACAGCCATTCATATACCTCAACGAACAAGTGCAAGAAATATCACACCGATGTGACAAGCACTCACAGAAATGAACTAAAATTAAGATTAGGCTACCCTGCTCATCAGAAGTTCTCCCTATCCAAGTTAGCTTTGCTTCCACAATGCATGGGTCCAAGGTTCAGTGGTTTTCTGAAACTAAGGTTTAAAACAATAAAATAAAATGCCACCTTGAATTCACGTGACACGGATGATATAACAGGCTAAGCATTCCCAAATTAAGTTTTTCTGATGGACTGGACTAAAATCCCATTAACCCCACCACACACAAAATTCAGCCAGCAGAGTAAGTAGCTGGATTTCCTGAAGTTACGAGAAAAAAAAATCCATAGGAAACGATGGCTTGCTCTCTGAATTATTATAAAGGATCAACTATCAAGAGGTCATTTAAAAAGATGGCTGAATCTAGTCAGGAACACTGGGCCAGTTCAGGATTGTCTGTGGGGGAATTTAAAAAAAAATCAAGATGGCGGCTGAAACGATGTGATCAAAGCCATGCTTCTTTGGTCCCATGCAGAAAGGGGAGGGGCTTTGGTCACATGGTCACGGCTGCCATATTGATTTTTTTTTACTTCTCTATTGGAGATGCAACTGGACGAATTGAAGCTTAGGACTGTTGAAGGAAAGTCCCACCCTAAGATTTTTCCTGAAAATCCATTGTTTTGTCCTGGTCTCTTGTTAGAATTCTAACTAGTTGAAAACAGGAATGAGACAAGAATCGGATGGCGGACAATTTAAAAAAATACCGATAACTTAATCTACAATCTTATTTCCACTTGTCAAAAAGTAAGTTCCTCTGGCATTAACGGGTTTACTTCCAGGTGGAAATGTAACTGGATTTCATGGAGAAGAAAGAAAATAAAGATAATTTCATGTTTGTTTGTTTGTTTTTTTAAAAAAAATCCCAGTCCCTGGTCAAGTTCTAAAATATTATTCCACACTTGCCTGGTTTCGTTAATCTTAAAAAAAAAAAGTAGCAAATCTGCACAGGAGATGAAAAATGGTGCACAGAAGTATTTTTAGGGGTTGTTGCTTCCTTCTCTGACCCAGAGATTCTCAGGCTGTCCCATAAAATGTTTGGGGTCCAAAGCAATACAGTTGAGAATCAGAAACCCAGCTGTATGGTTTTTGGAAACCCTGATCAAAATAAACATCAACTGCAATGTAGCTCTAGCAACCCTTGGCATTTGTCAGAAGAATCAATGATAAAGTAAAATGTTGCTTATCAAGGTTGGGTGGAGAGAGGGGGAAAAAGAGAGTTTAGTCAACCTGTGAGTGTTGCATTGCAAACATTGCAAATATCCCTTTCCTTTCAACTGCAGAAATGATTAAAAAAAAAGTATATTAGCCATCTAATGACAGAATATTGCATTTCTCTCTCTTTCTTCCTTCCTTTCTTCCTCAGAGCTGTGGTGGCCCACCTGCCCACTAGAGATAGATGGGGGGAAATCCAGCTTCAAGTCTAAAGGACTTTCTATTTACACAAAAGATCTGGATGGACAGCTCCATTCCTGAAGCCACGTTTTCCACACAGACCGTCACTCAAAAGTGGTCTCAAAAAGCACTTTGTTTTTTTTCCTGCATAGCAGAATTCCACAAAGTAGGAATGAGGAAGGGGGAAAAAATAATGCAGACATACTAGCCTGAGATGCTCACTTAAGCATGATCAGGAGTGAGTAAGCAGCCCAGCTACTCAAGTAGGTTCTCCATCTTATTTTTGATAGGGAAAAGCTGGTTGCTTGTTTATCCTCTGATCTCCGTATTATTACTGGCAGGTTTTGACTTCTACGCAGTCATCAATTCACACAGGATCCAGAAATTGACCTTGTATTGACCATGTTTTTCATCAGCTCCGGGGGATGAATGGGTGCAGGACGTCTTGCAGAAGTCACTTCCCCACCGCCCACCGGAGCTGCAGCTTCAAGTCTTAAAGAAGTTCCTCCTCTAGGAGTCTGGAGCTTCTGAGGATTCCTGGGCCGTTCTTCTCAAGTTGCCTTTCACCTTGACAAACTCGGGGGCGTTTTCTTGTTCCTCCTGGATTTTCTGCTTGTCAAGTTCGAGCTAGAAAGAAAAGAGTTTTTTTTTTTTTTAAGATAAGGAAGGGATGGGAAATACTCTCAACGAAAAGGTGCTTCTCAGAAGTTAAATAAGATAAGGTAAGGCAGTGTTTCTCAACCTTGACAATTTTAAGGCATATGGACTTCAACTCCCAGAATTCCACAGCCAGCAATGCTGGCTGTGGAATTCTGGGAGTTGAAGTCCACATGCCTTAAAATTGTCAAGGTTGAGAAACACTGAGGTAAGGTAACCTTGATTGTCACTTTTTTACTGTGGGCACAACGGCACACCTCAAAAATGAAATGTAGTTGCCCGCTCTCAAAGGGAAACACATACATGACACACACCTAAACATACTATGAACAGTATATGTATAGACCCACACCCCTACATATACGTAGCAAATAAATATTAAATACTGTCCATCTTGAATATATAATGGAAGGAGGAAGCTTGAGAGTTCACAAGGTTAATGCTGTATGGAATGAAACTCTGGCTGAATCTGGATGTTCTGCTACGGATACCACGGAGTCTCCTCCCAGAAGGTAACAAGGAAAACAGGTCGTGAAGAGGGTGTGTAGTGTCCTAGATGATCTTACGGATCCTGCTCAAGCAATGCTTCTGTGCTATGTCCTGGATGGGAGGGAGGGAACTGCCAATGATCTTCTCCGCCATCCTCACCACTCTCTGCACTGCCTTCCTGTCTGAAGCAGGGATGCCTCCAATCCAGACTGTGATGCTGTATGACAGGATGCTCTCAATCGTCCCTCTGTAGAAAGTGGTCAGGACAGGGGAAGGAAGATGTGCTTTTCTCATGCGACGCAGAAAATGCAGGCGCTGCTGTGCCCGCTTTGCCAGTTTCTCACTGCTGAGTGACCAAGTCAGCCTGGAAAGCCCTGCTTTGAGAGCAGCGTATGAAATGGAGGAGTTATTCACTTCTCCAATCTAACCCAATTTTTCAAGGAGAAAAAAACTATTTCTGGACTCGCCGCTGCAGGAGAGTGGCTGACCCTGTTACCTTCTGTGACCCTCATCCTAACAAAGCTTAAACCTACTGGAACTAACCCAACCTGCCTTCTCTTATATCTTCCCTTTGGGTTCTGAAAGAATTTTGAACTATTTTGAGGTCCCTAATTCAGGAGGTCCCTTCTGGAATCAAGATCAATACAGGCAGTCCTCGCCTTATTACAAGTTCGTTTAGTGACAGTTCAAAATTAGAACAACATTGAAAAAAGTGGCCGTTTTTCACACTTAACGGCCGTTGCAGCATCCCCCCATGGTCACGTGATCAAAATTCAACCGCTTGGAAACTGACTCCTATTATGACGGTCGCAGCGCCCCGGGGTCATGTGATTCCCCCCCTTTTGTGATCTTCTGACAAGCAATCCATGGGGAAGCCGGATTCACTCAACAACCGTGTTACTAACTTAACAAGTGCAGTGATCCACTTAACACCTGTGGCAAGAAAAGTCACAGAATGGGGCAAAACTCACTTAACCAATGTCTCGCTTAGCAACGTGTGGCTGGAAGTCGAGGACTACCTATAGACCAGGGGTGTCAAATTCAATTTCATTGAGGGCCGCATCAGCATTGCGGTTGCCCTCAGGGGGCCGGGTGGGTGTGGCCAGGGTGGGTGCAGCCTACTGGGTGGGTATGGGATGGAGTGGGTGTGGCCTACTGGGTGGGTGTGGCCAGCTCTATGTCATTCGCATTAAGGGTGCATGCACCCAGGGAGTGGGGCCAATGCGGCAGGGGTTGGTTCCTCGCTGTTTCCACACGGCCTTGTGGAGCTAAGACTGAATGTGTTTCAGCATAGATGGCCACCACAAAATTGTACATTGGCTCCCGGACGGCCTGGGCCACGGCCATGGCAGCGGGGGCCGTTCCCTCACTGTTTCCAGGATGGTTTTATGGGCCACATGAAACCACTTCACGGGCCACATCCGGTCCCCGGGCCTTGTGTTTGACATGTCTGCTATAGACAAATACCTTCTTTTTTCCCCTCTTACTTGTTCCAATTTCTGTTGTCGCTTGAGAAGCTCTATTTCCAAGTCTGACTTCTTCTTCTGGGCCTCCTCTTCTTTCTGCTTGAAAACCTGGTCTCTTTTTCGTCTCTCCATCACTTTTTGTAGCTCTGGTTTGTTCTGAGGAGCGAGACCCCTTGCAATAGAAGGCAAAGACAAGAAGATGAGCTAATATGTACGTCACACGTTTGTCCCAATATGGCCAGAGAACAGAATTCATCCACAGAGAAGTTAGTTGTATAAATGCAATTGCTTCTGTGTTTAATAATAATAATAATAATAATAACAATAACAACAACAACCACCACCCCACAATTTTCTGGGAAGAAAAATGATTTCTCGTTTTTTTTTTTAGTTTATATACCTTTTTTGGGAAGTTTTTCTCCACATTTCACGCTGGAAGAGCAGAAGTATCTTTGAAGATGATGGCCATAGGGAAATGGAGGATTTTTTTGGGGTCAATTTTGTATTAGAATTTATTTCCAATATATATATATATGTTTTTTCCCCCCAAAATTATCTTTTATATTTTTCCTCCTATTTCAGCGTATATAGCTTTCATAATTTAGGATATAAATACAAGGTTTTTAACTAAGTGACGTTTTCTAGCATCTTAAAACTAGCACCGCAGTCCAAAGATGATCTCATGGTCTTCTAGAGCGGGGGTCTTCAAACCTGGCCCTTTTATGACTTGTGGACGGTGTGCCTGGCCGAGGAATTCTGGGAGTTGAAGTCCATAAGTCATAAAAGGGCCAAATTTGAAAACCTGTTCTAGAGATTCTCATTTAGAAAAACCTTCCCCCACAAGGCTTACTTTCTCTCCCTGGTCCTAAAAATCTATTTCTAAATTAGGATTTAAGGCATCATCAATAGAATCACCAGTGAGATTTTGGACTGTGAGAAATTGGGGGGGGGGGGAAATACCACTGCTGCAGTGGAAAAGTATCTATTTGCCACTGTTCAGATCCATTTCAAATAAATGCAATAAGAATTAGACAAGTAAGATTTATTTGTTTGTTTGTTTTTTAAAAAAGATGAAACCATAGAGATGAACCAAAGGAAAAGCAATCTGAGAGCCACCTCACTTCCTGATTTGGTGTTAAGTCATCTTTTGGTTCCAACTGGAGGAAATACAAGTATCTGGAAAGTCACCTTGGTGTGCAGCTTATGCATTTCGTTATGTTGCATTTTTTTGCAATGTCAGAGGCAGACATCCTCAAGTAAATTCAGATGCTGGAAAGTCAATATTCCACAGACGTAGCTCCAGGATTAGTTCACTAGATGGCGCTGGAGCGCAACATATAATGAAGGAAAATCAGCAATGCTTTTCACTAAAAGAGGACTGTTCTTGGCCCACTCAGTATTTCTTAATTGAGGTACAAAGAGAAGAAATAAGCAATGCAATTTTTAATAATTCCAGCTAGGTCTCAAATCTACATATATCACTGATTATTTTGATCCAGACTAATGAATTGTCACTCCCTTGTGTAGTCTAGGTAGAACCATCTAGACTTCATCTAGGTCAGGGGTAGGCAACCTTGGCTCTTTTATGACACGTGGACTTCAACTCCCAGAATTCCTGAGCCAGCCATGCTGAGGGGAAAGGGAGAGGTTTCCAAGCTGAGCCATGCTGGCTCAGGAATTCTGGGAGTTGAAGTCCACGAGTCATAAAAGAGCCAAGGTTGCCTACCCCTGATCTAGGTACTTCTAGGTACAGTCGTCAACTGATAGTTAGGACTGCAGAAAAAAACAGTTGCAACCAGCCTGCCCTCTATTGAGGATATGTACACTGCACAAGTCAGACAGAGGGCTGAGAAAACAACTACAGTCTCCTCACATCCTGAACATAAACTGTTTTAACCAAAGAGAGAAGCAACCTAGAACTAAGGAGAAACTTCCTGACAGTTAGAACAATTAACCAGTGGAACAACTTGCCTCCAGAAGCGGTGACTGCTCCAACACTGGAGGTTTTTAAGAAGAGACTGGACAGCCATTTATCTGAAATGGTAAAGGGTTTCCTGCCTGAGCAGGGGGTTGGACTAGATGACCTCCAAGATCTCTTCCAACATTATTATTATTTTGGATCATCGCACAGTCAGCCAGATGTTCAGACTGGATTTGGCATTTTGTCTACCTATCGAGTCCTTACCCAGGACCTGGGATAGGCAGATGTGGATGTTTGATGGTATTACAGATATCGTCGCAGGATGGAAGCAGTTCCTAGTAAGGCCGCCTTTTGCAATTGACTAATAGCGAATTTGTCAATGCCAATGGTGTTCAAGTGGTGCTCCAGTTGTTTTGGGATTGCACCCAAGGAGCCTATACTATTGGTACTACCCTTGCTTGCTTTTGCCACAGTCTTTCTATTTCTATTATTATTATTATTATTATTATTATTATTATTATTATTATTATTATTATTATTATTATTATTATTATACTCCTCTCCTCAGGATGCCGCTATAGGACATTGCATGCCAAAACAACTAGACACAGAGAGTTTTTCCACCATGCCATCACTCTGCTGAACACCTAATCCCCACAGGACTGTCCTATGTCTCAGGATATTTACCCATGTAGTAGGGCTGTATTATGATTATCCTTCTCATCTTCCCTACTACCTTCTCCTATTGGTATCTTATGTTTATGTTACTTTGTTGCTTGTATGTATGCTGAGAGAGCTTACGCATCGGAGACAAATTCCTTGTGTGTCCAATCACACTGGGCCCATAAAGAATATTCTGTTCTAGATGTTAGACACAGCAACAGGACTGGCCACTGAGGTTGCCTATCCTTGTAAATGGAAAAAGGTCCATTATCTTCTTAAACATTCCAGCAGGTGGAACAGAAAAGGGGAGAGAAAGACAAGGACTCTTCTAGTTAAGAACCAGGAGTTGGCTAGCTCTCCTAATCAGAAGCTCATCCAATGCGAGCTTCCATTTTCAAGGGCAGAAAAGGGTAAAGGATAACGCAGAAGACGAGGCAGTTGGTGCTAGTGGTGACAAGCAGGACACTTCTGGGATTTAAAAACCACGGGTTTAAGTTGTGATTCTGCTCTTCCTCACACTAGCGTTTATTTTTAAAGATGTATGCCGTGGTTGATGCACAACTATCATAAGATATATTTGGCACACAGCTAGCAGAAGCTGTTGCCCTAGAGGGCAGAACTCAAATGTAGTGTATCAAGTGGGACTTGATTGCACAGAAATTAAGTGTTCACAGCTTCATGTTAGACGTTTTATTCCTTATTCCTTCCTTGCTTTCAAGCAAGCAGATGGGTTTTTAAGACTTGCCATTTCTAGCAATCAGAACCAGCAACCAAGCTGAAAGCTGTACATTCTCTAAATAAAATAAATGCATCGAGTTGCTTTTAAGAAAAACGAAATTTTCATCCAAATCCGAGTGCAGAAAGGTTTGTCTTTTGATTTGTTCCCTTCACAAGAAAAAAGTCACAAATAATGTTCTGTCTCTAATCCAAAGTCAAAATGTTGCCTCTCGCCACAATTTGGTGTTTTATAAACCAAGGAGCATTCTACCACAGTTTTCCTTATCATGAAGGTCTTATTTACAGGGTTAGATTTCCCTATCAAAGAGGACAGTGAGATATTTTGGATATTCTACAGACAAATTTTATTTAAGATGAGCTTAACCTGACACAAGGTTCTACTGTTGTCTCATGGAGCTAATTTATAAAAAAAGACAGGAGAAAAACGATACCATTTCTATTCTCTCCTTCTGTATTCATCATGTTATTCCTCCCCTTGGAAAACTTACATTCTATTTTTGTTCCAGAATTCCCTTTCGTATTATAAATAATAAGAACGTTGCATTAAGCAGCAGAGGTTGCTATCACCCCATCTTCTGAAGAAGTCTTCTGTGACAGATTTTAACACAATAAAAGATTCACTGAGTCTTAAAAAACTAATGAGCTTCTTACAGCGCTGGGATGTAATTATCACATAACTTGAAGGTTACAACTAGATTTCTGCGAAGATGATTAATATTGTGGGTTTGAGGTTTGCTTGATTCTTGGATTGTACTAAGCGTTTTAACGGCTTAGATCAGGGGTAGGCAACCTTGGCTCTTTTATGACTCATGGACTTCAACTCCCAGAATTCCTGAGCCAGCCATGCTGAGGGGAAAGGGAGAGGTTTCCAAGCTGAGCCATGCTGGCTTAGGAATTCTGGGAGTTGAAGTCCATGAGTCATAAAGTGGCCTAGGCCTAGGCCAGAGGTAGGCAACCTTGGCTCTTTTATGACTCGTGGACTTCAACTCCCAGAATTCCTGAGCCAGCATGGCTCAGCTTGGAAACCTCTCCATTTCTCCTCAGCATGGCTGGCTCAGGAATTCTGGGAGTTGAAGTCCACGAGTCATAAAAGAACCAAGGTTGCCTACCCCTGGCTTCGATATTCAATTGACATTTCTCTGTGGAACTTTTGCCGCTGAAAGTCATGGCCCAGTTTGGGGACCTTTTCTGACAATAAATGAATCACTACAGTCATTAAGTAAGCAAATCCAGCTTCCCCTATTGATTTTGCTTGTCAGAAGTGACTGGGAATGTTGCAAACGGTGATCACGTGACCCTGGGATAGTGCAACCATCATAAACACATGCCAAGCGTCTGTTTTGATCATGTGATTGTGGCGACACTACAATAGTCGTAAGTGCCCAGATCAGTTGTAAGTCACTTTTCTCAGTGCATGGTAACTTCTAGTGGATGCTAAATGAATGGTTGTAAGCAGTGGTGGGATTCAAATATGTGAACAACTGGTTCTCTGCATGGATGCTGCTTCTGGAAGTCCATTCTGGACCTGGGCAACAAAAAATTATCTACTGGTTCTACCAAAGTGGTGCGAACTGGCTGAATCCCACTGCTGGTTGTAAGTCAAGGACCATTTTTATAAGCGAAAGACTACTTATCCCAGGATAGCAACCCAGCCATTAGACAGCTGGGTGAAGAGAACAAGTCTAAAAATTAGAGGACAGTCCGTCTTTGTTCCCGCTTGAAAACAATAATTGCATTAACTAAAAAAAAAAAAGATTTATCCCTTTATCTCTTACCTTTTCTGATTCATACGGAGTTCTCGATGAAGATCTTGATGATTCCGAGATGTTTTTACAGGATTAATTAGTTTCTGAGGCTTAATTAGTTCAGGATTGTCTTCGTCTATGTAATCTGGTTCGGCCATGACAGTTTTCAGTATCTGAGGTGACTCTCTAGGTTCCCAGATTTCACCTACGTGATCTAGAAGAGATAGAAAAGGCTCTTGCTCAATCGATTAAGAAAATATTGCCAATCTATTTTCAGGAAGGCATTGTTAAGCATTTAGATGTTGCGTTATTTATTGCCACTTAGTTGATATCCCAGTCTTCTGTTCGTACCAATATCCAAAGTGGCTTACAACAGTAACACACACAGCATATTCAGCTTAACAAAATCAAACCAAGATAAATTCAAACCAAAAGTTGATCCTTAAAAGAATTAAAGTTAAGCCCTATAATGAGAGAGGTCTCCAATCATAAGTTTGGAGAAAAAAGGCAGCTAAGCTTTTTTGGTGCAAGGATGCTGGCTCTTCTTTTATATATTTATACACCCAGACGCACAAAACCGATGGCTGCAGAACTCCTGTTTTTCAATGTCTATTGCATAGCTATTCCTCATCTCCATCTACACAGTAGGAATCCAATATCTCATAAGACCCGGTATATTTTCTCAAACTGTTTACCACCTCTAGTACAAACTCTTTTTATTATTTAGCTCGATGGAACATAGATTCATCTTGAAAGGAAGACTAACAGCTCTCTTAAAGCTCTTTTGATCAAATCTTTTCTTTAGCAATTTAAAGACCATCTTATAGCTTTGGTTTTAGACAGATTCACACTTTGACTTGGATAAATGGCGAGAGAGGAGCTGAGGTCAGGGAAAGGGCAGCAGGATTGACTTCGCACAGATAAAAACTTTAGCAAAAATGAAATCAGACTGGCTTCTTATATTCATAATCCCTTCACCCTATGAGCATATCATTCACCCTGAAAGAAGGCATACAAAGTTCTTTTCATAGATTCTTTATGGGGTCCTTGGTGCTCTCTGAGCTTGGTGATTTTCTTGCAGACGTTTCACCCAAGTAGGTAACATCTTCAGTGCTAATACCTTGAAGGCATCAAATCCCCCTTCTCCTCTAGCACTGATGATATTACCTAGTTTGGATAATGAAATGTCTGCAAGAAAACAGCTGAGCTCAGAGAGCACCAAGAACCCCACAGCCGTCCTCCTCCCCTCCTCCTCCTCCTCTCCACAAACCCAACTGCCTTCTAACACTGATGATGTTACCTAATTCTGGGAGTTGAAGTCCATGAGTCATAAAAGAGCCAAGGTTGCCTACCCCTGCCCTAGGCAAAGCAGTGTAGCAACAAGAATCTAAGTTACAAATATTTTTAAAATTCTCCTCATTTAAAGGTGGGTGCCTAGAGCAGTGGTTCTCAACCTGTGGGTCGGGACCCCATTTGGGGTCGAACGACCATTTCACGGGGGTCGCCAAACAACGCAGTCCGCCATTTTTTCCCCTTTTCCTTAGCTGTGCTACTCCCTTTTATTCTATTGGCTTTTGAAAGCCAATAGAATAGACTCTCTTGAATAGAGTCTAATTCTATTGGCTTTCAAAAGCCAATAGGAATTGTCCAGGCTGTCTCTGCCCTGCTGAGCCCGCCAAAAGTCCCATTCTGCAAACAGTGCTGCACCAGTTGAGTAGTCCTCGACTTACGACAGGTTGAGTAGTCCTCGACTTACGACCAGTTGGGTGTTGCGGCATTAAAAAGGTTGAGAACCACTGGCCTAGAGAATAGTGCAGAGGCAAAGATTTTATCTGAATATTCTGAATCTGCAGCTACTCAACATTGCTACTAGATTGCGTCTCTCTACAGAGAGAGAGAGAGAGAGAGAGAGAGAGGGAGAGAAAGAGAGAGAGAGAGAGAGAAAGAGGGGGGCTCACTTTCCCTCCTTCCTTCTCTCTCTACCAGGCTCAAGGAGCACCAAGGACCCCACAGTCCTCCTCCTTCTCCCACTCCCTTCTAGCACTGATGTTACCTAGTTGGGTCATGAAATGTCTGCAAGAAAACCACCCAGCTCAGAGAGAGCACCAACTTGCTGGTGGTTCAGTCAGTCAGTAGCCAGAAATTCTCAGCACTGAGTCGTCAGTTATATCAACCACCAACTACATCTCAGCATCAAGGCTGAGAAGAACAGAGGGAAAAAAAAAACTTTTAAACCATGGAACGGAGGAGTGAAAGAACTGCCGGAATTTGACTACAGAGAGAGAGAGAGAGAGAGCGAGAGCGAGAGCGAGAGAGAGAGAGAGAGAGAGATGCACCTTCACATCGGCAGAGGGCAATCAAAGGTTTTAGTGGCCTTTTTCTAATCTGCAGTAAAGATTTGTATTTAGTTATGCTCAAATCTTAACCAACTTCTAGTCTGCCGCGGCCTGCTTAAACTGTGCCCAAAATTTTCTGCTGACATCTTGCCAGGCGCCCCAATGGGTGTTAGAGACCTTCAAAACACACCGCCAGGGTTTCCCAAAGATCCTCTGGCTTTGATACCAAGTGTGGCTTGCTTAGGCCTCAGGTAGTCCTCAGCCTAGAATTATAACCAGGATTGGGACCAACATATTTAGGGCTAAGCGAGGCAGTTGTTAAACAGTTGTGCCTGATTTTATGACATTTTTGCCGCAGTTGTTAAGCGAATCGTGCCGTTATGAAGCGAATCCAGCTTCCCACATTGTTGGAAGATTGCAAAATGGTGGTTACATGACCTCTGAACGCTGCAGCCATCGTAAACACCGCCAATAGCCAAGCACCTGGATTTTGATCATCTAACCATGAAAACATTGCGGTGAATCCAGTGGTAACCTTTTTCGGTGCCATTAACTTTGGTCGCTAAATGGATGACTTTAAGTCAAGGGCTACCCGTTAATATCCTAATGCAGGGGTAGGCAACCTTGGCTCTTTTATGACTGATGGACTTCAACTCCCAGAATTCCTGAGCCAGCATGGCTGGCTCAGGAATTCTGGGAGTTGAAGTCCACCAGTCATAAAAGAGCCAAGGTTGCCTACCCCTGTCCTAATGTCTTACTGTCAAAGAAATGTAGGAATGTGGAACCAAACCATCTCTATAACAGCCCCGGGTTGTAATTCCCTCCCCGTGTAATCACACAGCAAATGGCTAATTCTTTTTGCACGGGTGATACATCATTTTCATTCTTCCCTTCAATATTTTTTTAATTCAGTACCATCGGTTGATTTTAATAGTCTTTTTTTTCCCCGTTTTAAGAATGGAGTGGTCGCTTTGTTTCACAGATCCCCATGGAGAACTTTGTGACAACTTTATTCATTCATTAGAACAAAGAGTGAATAAATAAATAAATAGAGGAACTTTGCGGTGTCGGCAAACAATTAAGCTAGAGCCAAACAATTCAGCTAATTCAGCGATCCTGGGAATGAGCTTTGAACAAAAGGATCTGTCTTTGGTCTTTGTGAAATTAGGAAAAGATGCCCTGAGCTTTGAGCAAACACGTTATTGACCTCACTGAGAAATCAAAGCATGCCAGATACGCATCAATACGCTCTCCCACCTTTGGTTAAAATCAGCTTTGATGTTACTACGGCAGGCAAGGCTATCGGGGCCTCTTGTTTATGAGTCAATGAATTTTGATCCCAGAAAATGGATTAATTTAGGAACCAGGAGAAATATAGAGTCTAAGCTTGACCTCCATATACTTAAGACTCGTTAAGATAAGTAAAAGGATAGTCAAGGCATTACAGAGGTTGTCTATTCGCTAAGAATGTGAGGTTTGTTCATCCTAAATTGGGGGAGGGAGTCTAAATTAGACCCAACCTTGGGTCTTTTATGACTCGTGGACTTCAACTCCCAGAATTCCTGAGCCAGCATGGCTCAGCTTGGAAACCTTTCCCTTTCCCCTCAGCATGGCTGGCTCAGGAATTCTGGGAGTTGAAGTCCACGAGTCATAAAAGAGCCAAGGTTGCCTACCCCTGGCCTAAATGTTTAAAATTTAAAGTCTCAGCACAGAAAAGTAAATACTTTACTTGGTTTGTGATGATTTCAGAAACACAATATTTTGTCACTGTGTTTGGGGGGATTTTTTTTAAAAAAAGCTTTCAGTTAGGCAGGATTTTAGAGCAATTGCCCATGTAAAAACTACATCCAACTATACTTTTAAAAAAAGGAAAAAAAAATCTTTGAAATAGTCAAAATAAGTTTGATGCTGCCACCTGGTGTAACATCTGTGCAAAAGCTTGAAGAATTCTTACCACATCGCTGAGGAAGACCAAGGCAAGCATAAACAAGCTTAGGAAGCTATGTCCAACTCATAAAACCCAAGGAATATCTCAGAATGCTTTCTTAATCAAACTGTGGCAAACCACATAAGCCAAACATTCGAGTTAGAATTAAGGAACATTAACTTTCCCGATAAATGGAGCTGTTAATGACAAAAACCTATTTTAACAGGCTGTTCATTAAATAGGATATTATTGTGCCAGTTCACATCACCCGCATGGTGCTCACATCATTCAAATAGCACATTGAATGGAAAGGATGCCATTTTATTTGTGTATATTTAAATCACGTATAGTGAAAGAAATGACATCATTTATGGAATTGCATTATTGCGTCAAAAATTGGGTCTGTTGCACGGAGAGCTTATAAGATGTGCGAGATCTTTTCCGTGTTCTGATGCGGGCTGGAAAAAAAATATAATAGCTGGACAACCTTCCCAGGTCTTGGACCATCCTTTCAGAGACACAGGTAATCCTCGACTTACGACCACAACTGAGCTGAAAATTCCCAAGACAGTTGTTAAGAATCATGCCCCATTTTACGATCTTTCTTGCCACAGTTGCTAAGTGAATCACTGCAGTTGTTACGTTGGTTGTTAAGCGAAACTGACTTCCCCGCTGAGGGGAAGGAGGTCGCAAAAGGAGATGGCATGATCCCGGGACACTGCAAGCATCATAAATAGGAATCAATTGCCAGGCGTATGAATTTTGATCACGTGACCACGAGGGTGGTTGCAATGGTTGTGAGTGTGAAAAATGGTCATAAATAACTTCTTTCAGTACCGTTGTAACTCCGAATAGTCACTAAACAAACGGTTGTAAGTCAAGGACTATCTGTATTTCCTTACCAGATTCCTCAAATGCTCTCAACAATCATAGAGCTTCTAAAGCAGAGCTTCCCAATCTGAGTGAAAGAGAAGGGAAATGGGTGCGCGTGCACACACGCGCAAATGGCCGCATGCACGGTGGTGGCGCTAGCACATGCACACATGCACAAGCAGGCCATGCGTACCTGCAGCGGCGCTGGTGCCACGTGCACCCACAGCGGAGTTGGTGGCCGTGTTCATGCGCAAGCGGGCCACTAGCACCCACACATGGGCACAAACAGGCCACTAGCACCAGCGCACCTGCACAAACAGGCTGCTAGCACCCGCGTGATGCTGGGGCAGTGCTAGTACCCCGCACATGCAAAGGGGGCCACTAGCAAGTGGGCGGTGTGCGCATATGTGCATGCACTTGCCAGCCATTCCTGCGGCCTGATGGCTAACAGAGAGCAGCCTGGTATCAGGTTGGGGATCCCTGTTCTATAGTACTGGAAAGAATTTCTTAAAAATTCAGGGAGATATACAGAGAAGTATCTGCCTTGAAATTAGCCCACGCTGAACTCTATGGCACAGCCGAACATCAGCACAGGAAATGTTTTTTGATATTTTGTAGTATATCATAAAATGCTTTATGATTATGTTTCTGTCATAAAATGTTTTATAACGTTTGCCAAATTGTCCATCGTAGGGAGAAGCAATCCCAAATGTTGATGGTTTTAACTGGTCCTAACAGCAGCTTAAAATTAAGCTAATATTCATCTCCAAATAAACGGTTCTGCTTTTATAATGAGATTTAAAGCTCATAAAAGCTTGAAAATCTTTTGGCCCCAAGAATCAGAATTAAGCGACATCTCATACCAGTTGCATTGAAAGTAGAAACCAGAATTCCTTCCAAGAGTGTCAGAATCCCATAATCTCCCATGGGAGATCAATAATTTCAGTATCTCTGAAAATCACCAGGTTGGGCTATAGATAAATTCTAAAATATACCCCAAACAAAATAGCCTACAGCAAACATTATGGACAGAAGGCACCAGACAGAAAATGAGAAACACACAACCTCAAATTACTATAATTTAGGAAATAAACTTGATAAGTTAATTTACATGAATGCTGCTCAAAAAAAAAAAACAGAAGTTCATTAATATGCCATTGAAAATTTAATCCATGACAAACAGAGTCCAAATTATCTGTGAGTGACAGATGATTTCAGCATTTCAAAGGCTGAAAATTGCAGAAATTTAGCTAGGGGACCATTCCAGAAAGTTTTAAAACTGTAGCAAGTAACATTAACACCAAATCCAATTATGAGAACAATTATGATAATAAAGTGGCTATGTTCAATGTTCTTTTTAGCTTCCCTTCTGTCAGTCACAAGGACATTTTAGTCACATACTGTCACCTAGTGGAGGACGACTTGGGAGAATTGCTGTCACCAAGGAAAAGTAAAAGCAAAGCAGGACTACAATTTTGTATGGATTTGATGAAATGGGCGCTGAATCTCTGCAACACTGTGGTTGATGCCCAACCTCAACCACAATCACTTTTAATATGAGCCAGCAGTGTGCTGCAGCCACCAAAGAAGTCAATGCAGTCCTAGGCTGCATTAACAGAGGGAGAGAATCAAGATCACATGAACTGTTAATACCATTTTATAACACCTTGGTAAGGCCACTTGGAATACTGCATCCAGTTTTGGTCACCAGGATGTAAAAAAGATGTTGAGACTCTAGAAAGAGTGCAGAGAAGAGCAACAAAGATGATTAGGGGATTGGAGGCTAAAACATATGAAGAACAGTTGCAGGAAATGGGCGTGTCTAGTTTAATGAAAAGAAGGATTAGGGTGACATGATAGCAGTCTTCCAATGTCTAAGGGGCTGCCACAAGGAAGAGGGAGTCAACCTATTCTCCAAAACACCTGAAAACAGGATATGAAACAAGAAATGGAAACTAATCAAGAAGAAACAACCTAGAACTATGGAGAAATTTCCTCATAGTAAGAACAATTAACCAGTGGAACTGCTTGCCTCCAGAAGTTGTGAATGCTTCAACACTGGAAGTTTTTAAGAAGAGATTGGACAACCATTTGTCTGAGATGATATAGGGCAAGGATCCCCAATCCCCGGTCCATGGACCAGTACCGGTCCATGGCATGCCAGCAACCAGTCCACACAAACAAGCATCCACGGGATGCAGGCAGCACACAAAACCACGCACCCTCCGATCTGTGGAAAAACCTCTCTCCACGAAACCGGTCCCTGGTGCCCCAAAGGTTGGGGTCCTCCGATACAGGGTTTCTTGCCTGAGCAGGGGGTTGGACTAGAAGACCTTCAAGTTCCCTTCTAACTCTGTTATTCTGTTAACATCTAGCAAAGGGGCAAACAGACTTATCCCATGTTTCATCAGCTTCTCCATGGTGCAATTTATCTTTTCCATCCCCCAAATAGAAGGTAGCTCTGTTATTTGACCCATTCCTTTGGGAATCTCCACCATCGCTTATTCTCCAAACTGCGATGCTGGCTAAGGAATTCTGGGAGTTGAAGTCTACAGGTTTTAAAGTTGCCTTCAAAAATTATGGGTGTTCCATCACTGCAGGCGTTCAAAAAGAGACTGGACAATCTGGAATGGAATAGGATCCCCTGCCTGAGCAGGGGGTTGGACTAGTAGACCTCTAAGGTCTCTTTCAACTCTGTTATTCTGTTATCATTTACTAACTCTGTTATCATTTACTAAGATTGGTCAGAATGGTTTAGATCAGTGGTTCTCCACCTGTGGGTCGGGACCCCATTTGGGGTCGAACGACCATTTCACGGGGGTCGCCAAACAACGCAGTCCGCCATTTTTTCCCCCTTTTCCTTAGCTGTGCTACTCCCTTTTATTCTACTGGCTTTTGAAAGCCAATAGAATAGACTCTCTTGAATAGAGTCTAATTCTATTGGCTTTCAAAAGCCAATAGGAATTGTCCAGGCTGTCTCTGCCCTGCTGAGCCCGCCAAAAGTCCCATTCTGCAAACGGTGCTGCACCAGTTGCGTAGTCCTCGACTTACGACCGGTTGAGTAGTCCTCACGACCGGTTGGGAGTCGCGGCATTAAAAAGGTTGAGAACCACTGGTTTAGATCAATAATACAATGGTTGGAAAAAAACACTAAAACATCTGCAAATCTAAAGTTACCATGCGAAAGGAGAGATCAAAATGACCCAATACAATTTTTAGTATTCCATCTACGACTTTCTCAGCACAGCTGGGGACTCTTGAAGTGGAAATCCAGCACATCTGGAAGATGCCAGGATGGACAAGACTTTTATACTCCAACACAACACTTGATTTACTTTTTAAATCCTACCCTGAAAAATAGTCTGCCTTACATTTTATCAGATTAGTCATTATAAGTCATGTTTTTATTTTCTTAAAATCGAAAACATGTCATTAAGTGTACTGCGTTTTGTTTGGTTTTTTTACTAAATTTGCTCCTATCGTTTGGAAAATACACAGCTTAGCAGGCTCCTCTTTAAAAATCTGCCCACCGTTTCCTTCCCAAAATTCCAAATTAAAAGGAAACAAGATACATTTTGCCCCCAAGGCTTGCAGCGATGGTGAGCTCATTAACAGCGGAGTTCAAAATATGTATTATGAATACAAAAGCTGGCTGGCCGAGAAGTAGAAGGGTTTTGCCTGTTTGCTTAGGTAAAATCAGCATAGAGGAACTAGCTAAAGAAGCCAAAATGTCTGGTGAGCATTTCAGATTAAATTATTGTGTCCAAATCCTGATGGGACTTAGTAGCTAGAAGAAGTACAGGGAAGGCAAAATTCAAATGGAAATAAATGTAAAACAGCATGACCTATAAGCTTCCTTATAGTCTTGAAACTCAAACGTTCAGAAGAGCAGACACATTTCCCCATAAACATTGTTTTCTCTAGCATACTTGCAAAAAGCAAACTCTGATGTTCTTTCCTTTAAATGTAATAACCGCATCAAACGTTTATCTTGGGTTTTTTTTCTAGCACCATCCTGTTTCCAAAATGTAAGACCAAACCAAGCAAATATGTTTATACACCTTTGTGCAATATATACAGCTAGTCCTCAACTTACAATAGTTCCTTTAGCGACCATTCGAAGTTACAACGGCACTGAAAAAAGTGACTTATGGCCATTTTTCACACTTACGACCACTGCATCATCCCCAGGGTCATGTGATCAAACTTCAGACGCTTGGAAACTGACTTGTACTTATTACGGTTGCGGCATCCCGGGGTCAAATGATCCCCTTTTGTGACTTTCTGACAAGCAAAGTCAATGACGGAAGCCAGATTCACTTAACAACCGGGTTACTACCTTAATTGCAGTAATTCACTTAACAAATGTCGCAACAAAAGTCCTAAGATGAGGCCAAACTCACTTAAGAAATTTTGGGTTCAGCTATGATCGTTAAGTCGACCTGTAATCATAGCAGCCCGAATCATCTCCATTTTTATTATAAAAAAAAAACCACAAGAGAATTCAGGGATCCCTGCCTAGGTTTTAAAACTTGGTTTGTTCTTGCAAGCAAGAGATCTAGGATGCTACAAACCTGGGAGTTTTACCAAGGTCCTGAGGAATTGGCCTTCAGAGTTAGAAGCGGCTGGATTCTCTCTTGAGATAATAAATGGACGATCCAGATGCAGCCCTCCCCAGCACTTGAAAGTATGAAATAACAGCCTGGCAATCAGAATGGCATTGTCCAAAGACTAGTGAAAAGTATGACTAAACAGAGATGAAAAATTAGTCAAGTACATCCTGTTCTGGATATAGAAGTCCAAGGACAGGGTGGAGCTAGCTAGATAGGTCTGTTGGCAAAGAACCTAGTTCCCCTTTTGTTCGTAAATACGGGAGGAAACAGCGCACCGGGGATTTCTTAAACCTTGTGGTTTGAAAACACAAAATGGTTCGTAAGTGCTGGGTTTGTTTCCTCACTCCATCTTGGCTAATACGTTGCATTACAAATACTTAGCAAAGTTTAACACCACTTGGTTCAAGGTATTATGATCAGGATCTTATCAACAGCATCCCAGAGTATCCTGTGCACTCGTAGAAAGACCTGCAACCATATGTAGGATTATCTATTTTCAGCAGGCAAGGCAAGGCTTCCTTGAATGAAACCTGTATGCTTACTATCCGTCATTATTCAGATGTGGTCAGGCATGAAGAATTGGGACCACGTGTTAAGATGATGTATCGCTCATGTCTATTCACAAGAACCTAGTCAACTAATAGTCAGCACAAAATTGGAGCTAAATAAGAGTGAGTGGAATTCAAGGGCGGGCACTTGGATCCTTGTGGCAACACAAGGATTCTAGGCTGATTCCTCTCTTGACTCCGACTTCTCCTCCAGGCTCCGCCCTTTCTTCTGCTATAGATATGCTTCCTCCACAGTCCCAAAACTTTCTTGGAGAAAGAGGATGGTCAGGTCAGAGCTGATACAGGTAATCCTGGATTTAGAGCCATTCATTTAGCGACTGTTCAAAAGTTACAATGGCTCTGAAAAAAAAGTGACTTATGAACCATGCGGCATCTCCTATGGTCACGTGATCAAAATTTGAGCGTTTGGCAACTGGCATAAATTTATGACAGTTGCAGTGTCCCGGGGTCATGTGATCCCCATTTCCAATTGGCTTCTTACGAGCAAAGTCAAGAGGAGAAGCCAGATTCATTTAACGACCGCGTGGTTCACTTAAAAGCTGCAGTGGTTCACTTAACCCAGGGGTAGGCAACCTTGGCTCTTTTATGACTCGTGGACTTCAACTCCCAGAATTCCTAAGCCAGCTGCGCTGAGGGGAAAGGGAGAGTTTCCAAGCTGAGCCATGCTGGCTCAGGAATTCTGGGAGTTGAAGTCCACGAGTCATTAGGGAAGTCTTGGAGCTGAGCCAAGGGCCTAAGAGCCAAGGTTGCCTACCCTGCCTAGGCCTAGGCCGCTTTATGACTCGTGGACTTCAACTCCCAGAATCCCTGAGCCAGCATGGCTCAGCTTGGAAACCTTTCCCTTTCCCCTCAGTATGGCTGGCTCAGGAATTCTGGGAGTTGAAGTCCACGAGTCATAAAAGAGCCAAGGTTGCCTACCCCCGACTTAACCGCTGTGGCAAAAAAGGTTGTGAAATGGGGCAAAACTCACTTAACCTCTGCCCTGCTTGGCAATGGAAATGTTGGGCTTAATTGTGGTCATAAGTTGGCCGCCATCTTTGAAGCCCAGCTATTATTGCATCATTATGAGTCTTCCTCCTGCAGTCCAAAAACCTAACAGAGCTGTGATAGGTTTCTCCCTTTGATTTTATAAATGTAATATGCAGAGAAGAAAAGCTATCACAATATACAAGACACAAAACAAAGCTTTTCGGAAAAATATCTATACATTGTACATCTACACTGCAATATTCACATGAACGTGATCACTATTTACATTTCCTAAACTGAACTTCTGCACAATATTTTCATCACCAATACGCTCATAGAGATACACACAATAAAAGGGATCCATATGTAACCTTTTGGATACACATGCACACAAACATGCACATTTATACACACACATGCATAGACACACAAATATACGTGAATGCGTTTTTTTTAACATTTACTCTTCCCCTTAGGAATTTTTAACCACTATTTTTCTTAATTAGTTAACGATTTCAGTATTAATCTGAAGCAGATGAAATATTTGTATCAAAAACATGTCTAGGAATTCCAAGTGATTTAAAACCGTAGCAAAAAAACAAAATTCTGTGTCCACAGCCACAAATAAGAAATCTATCACTTACTCCTATTAACTGAATGACCTGAAAAACAACTTGCCAGATTGTTGAGTAATAGCCATAAAGATTGATAGAGAAGTTTTATCAAGAACACCTAAAATGTCACTGAATCACACAGCTAAAAAAGAACCGTATTTCTTAACCTTAAGGGGATTCCCGTTAAGACTTCTATTCTGCATATTCTTGTTCTGAGGTCTTCCATTTCATATTTCAAACATCTTTATGTCCAACAAATAAATTCTTAATCAGAAATCAGGCTCCTGTCATCTCCTTATTAAGTTTTAAGGACGACATGAGTACATTATTGTTGTGTTCGAGTGAATCACAATGGAATTAAGTTGCATTCTAACAACCTCGCTGTAACTTGACCCTTCTAAACACCCAGTTCAAATAATCCAGACGCTTTTGATGGACAAAAATCTGATTCTTATGGGAATAGATTTGCTTTTTGGGGGGAGGCTTACAATCCTTCATGGCCATGTCATCGGAAGGGGGACAAGTACAATGCACAAGGCAGGGCTTTTCTAATTCCTGCAGCCTTTTATGAACCACTCGCTTGTAAAATATCTTCAGTGCTTATTAGGGAGGTTTTTTTTTTGTCCTGGACCATAATCGGGGAATGCTCAACTGATTATGGGAAGAGTTATAATAGGTTGGCAGGTTTCCAACATCAACGGCGCACTGGCAAAAGAGTTCCCACAACTGTGTACTGTATGTCTCAGAGCCCAGAGAAGCTTCAGGGCTTCTGCCTTCCCAAGCAACGTTGATGGCTGCCCTCTGAATGGCCCAAGGCAGTGGTGGCGAACCTATGGCACGGGTGCCAGAGGCGGCACTCAGAGCCCTCTCTGTGGGCACGCACGCCGTCGCCCCAGTCCTAGGCCTTCAGCTGGGTTTTATAAAACCTTTTCGCTTTAGGCCTCTGCTGCCTTGTGCAAAAAAAAAAAAAGGTTCAATTAATCAGTCAATTTCAACTTCTCAGAGGGAAAAAAAAAATCTTGCAAAGTTGGAATTGATTGATTGAACTTTTTAGTCCCACCCAGTCTGCTGTTACCACCGCAGCCACGCCCACCCAATGGGCCACGCCCACCCAATGGGCCATGTCCACCCAATGGGCCATGCCCACCCAATGGGCCACACCCACCTGGCACCCGATGATGCATAAGTGGGTTTTGGGTTGCAGTTTGGGCACTCGGTCTCTAAAAGACCTCAGATGGTCTACTGCAGTGGTGGCGAACCTACCCACCAGAGGCAGCACTAAGAGCCCTCTCTGTGGGCATGCACGCTGTCGCCCCAGTCCTAGGCCTTCAGCTGGGTTTTATAAAACCTTTTCACTTTAGGCCTCCATCGTCGTGTGCAAAAAAAAAAAAAAAAAAGGTTCAATCAATTTCAACTTCTTGCGGGAAAAAAAAAGATCTTGCAAAGTTGGAATTGATTGATTGAACTTTTTAGTCCCACCCAGTTTGCCGTTACCACCGCAGTCACGCCCACCCCATGGGCCACGGCCACCCCATGGGCCACGCCCACCCGGCACTCGATGATGCATAAGTGGGTTTTGGGTTGCAGTTTGGGCACTCGGTCTCTAAAAGGTTCGCCATCACTGGTCTACTGAATCACCATTACATAATCCAAAGCACGATCAGAAAATAATGAACTCTTCCATTAGTGTATCTTGCCTCTTCATCACTCACTTTTTAAATTGTGTCTGTCAATGCTAAAGCCCGGCACAATGAGAGACAGGATATCTACCGCATAAATAATCTAATATTTCTCCTTTTCAGTCCGTCTTTTATTTTTATGTGCAACATCCACACTGCCAGTCTATGCCCGTCTCCTCCCATACGCCTGAAATTTTTTTGGTGTGTCCCTGTCAATACAGCTTTTGAAGAAGAAGGTTACAATGGCAGTTACATAAATGGCCAGGCTTACACAAAAATGCCAGCAGGCAAGGGAAAAGAAAAAGTCCTCCTAAAACACTGACCCAGCAATCTGTTTACAGATTAACTTTCTGGAACAATTTTGAATATTTTCCATGAGTATCTTCCCAGCTGGTACTTGAAGGTATAAATAGTCTGCTATAAATTAAGGAATTCAGCTTCATGCTGGGATGTCGTTATACCTCTAGCACAGTGGTTCTCAACCTGTGGGTCGGGACCCCATTTGGGGTCGAATGACCATTTCATGGGGGTTGCCAAACAACGCAGTCCGCCATTTTTCCCCCCTTTTCCTTAGATGTGCTACTCCCTTTTATTCTATTGGCTTTCGAAAGCCAATAGAATAGATTCTCTTGAACAGAATCTAATTCTATTGGCTTTCAAAAGCCAACAGAAATTGTCCAGGCTGTCTCTGCCCTGCTGAGCCCGCCAAAAGTCCCATTCTGCAAACGGTGCTGCACCAATTGAGTAGTCCTCGACTTACGACCGGTTGAGTAATCCTCGACTTACGACCGGTTGGGGGTCACGGCATTAAAAAGATTGAGAACCACTGCTCTAGCACCACATTCATTCTCCTCCTAATATTCTTTAAAAACTGGAGATGTTGAGGGAAAAATAAAATGACCCAATTAGAAGTATGGGAGGCATAATCTCCAAAGCACCTGAAGGCAACAGATGGAAACCAATGAAGGAGAGAAGCAACCTGGAATTAAGGAGAAACTTCCTAACAGTGAGAACAATTAACCAATGCAATGGCTTGCTTTCAGAAGTTGTGGGTACTCCATCACTGGAGGTTTTTAAGAAGAGACTGGACAATCACTTGCCTGAAAAGGTATAGGGCAGGGGTCTTCAAACCTGGCCCTTGTATGACTTGTGGACTTCAACTCCCAGAATTCCCTCAGCCAGCGTTCCTGGCTGAGGAATTCTGGGAGCTGAAGTCCACAAGTCATAAAAGGGCCAAGTCTGAAGACCCTGGTATAGGGTTTCCTGCTTGAGCAGGGGGCTGGACTAG